AAATTTAACCAGATTATTTCTTCATGGTAGGCAGAGGATTATTCAATCTCTAGTTCCTTGAATTAGAAAAACATCCTGAATAACATGATTAAGTTTCCATTTACTCATCAAAAAGATTACAACTAAAGAATATCTGAATGAGTGTTATATTTAGTTCTTTTAATCGAATAACTAATATTGTGTCCATGAAGAAGTACAATTTTTTTTTTTTTGGAATCAAACAAATTTCAATCCAAGGCTTTCCTGAAGTACCCCTGCTTGTTGTCTTATTATCTTTATATTTTATGAATTTTACTCACCAACTTAAGATTAGCTTTTGATTTTTAAACAAATTCTCCTTCTCAACACCATAGGAAATGTATAGAGAACAGTACGGAGAATAAGCATAGTCATCTCATGTTAGGGTATGAAAGGTTAAAAAGATGCTATTATTAATAGTACCAGCTGTAAAGCCTATATAGAATGCTTACATTATAGATTTATCCATGGATCTCTTTTTGTCAAACTTTTTCCATAGGTGAAGCAATGGAGAAAGGATTACGCGATTGTTGCAGATCAATAAGAATAGGAAAGATTTTGATTAAATTCAATGAAGAATCCAAGACACCTATGGTAATACAGTTGATTAGACCTAGAGCACAGTTTGTCATAGTTAAATTAATTTGATTTGATGTCACCTGGTTAGTTAATCTTTGTTAAAGATTAAATTATTGTTACCTTGTAGTTCTTTAACTAGATAAAGCAAAAAACCATTAAAACAAGTTTTGAAAGTTACCATAATGGTAATGGTAAAGGTAAAGAATCCAATCCTACTGACATGTTGACCAACTGTCAGCCGACACAGTGGCCACTGTTTATCCATCTAATGTACTAGATGTGTCAGTGGTGTATTGGTGGTGTGTCGGTGACTTTGTTTGGGCCTTACTTATGTAAAGCAATGCTAACCCTTCCTTTTCCACACTTATCTGTAACGTCTTCTTTGGAAAACTTTCACTGACAACATGAAAATGAATAATTATTATCTTCCTTTAACGACTGGAAGGAGTCCACCCAGCTGTTTCTGACATTCCTATGCGATGATTTTTACAGTTAGTACAAATGGCTTTTTAGTTTGGCTCAGTTTCTGGAGACTTTGGCTGTTCTGCAGCTCTCACCACTACATGAGCTGCACATAGCTAAACAGTGCATTCTAGTGTGACCAGCTTACCAACATGTAACATGCTAACTCCCTCAGTATCCAACCCTTAAAAAAAAGCACTAGGTATTAGTGTTTTGTTCTCAAAATGGCAGTGATTTAGATTTCTTTTCTTATGAGGGTGGTCTTATGCATTCAATCTTACCAACATGCAAGTAGTGTGTCGGCCAATGCAGTGGTAGTGTGTTGGCTGACATGTTGGTAGTGTGTCAGTCAATGCATTGGCAGTTTGTTGGCCAATGCATTGGTAGTGTGTCAGCCAATGCTGGTAGTGTGTCGGCCGACACTTCAGATTCTTTACCTTTATCATGATAATGACTTTGAATTTGTTTTCCACTTTTACAAAATTGCTATTTTATGCAATATCAAGTCTCATTGCATTTACTGGTATTAACTTAAAGTTGACCCTTTAACTCCCATGAGTGACCAAGGGGGAATTTCTCCTTTCAATATCGAGCAGACAAGTAATGAGAATGTAGAAAAATATCCATGAGATGGTCATAAGTTGATCCAATACCAAATTCTCAGAACTAACATCGTATAGCAGAGAGTAAGAATTAAATGAGATCTTGAGAGTAAAAGGGATAATTCACATTTATTTTGTATCCTCTTTATACAAGGTTTATTATGCAAAGTTCCCTCCTGGTATTGATCAAAGAAAAGTTCTTCTTATGTATCCTCTCCTAAGTGAGTACACAAGTTTCATTCTTCTTTAATTATTACAAAGAAAAAACTACATGGGCTTGCACAGAGAAGGAATTTCTCTTCAAGTGTTCAACTCAATATCTCTCAAGGGAGGGCATTACACTAGTGAGAAATTCAGTTGATCACTCAAAGAGAAATTCCACATCTACAAACCATTTATTACTTTGTTTATCATACAAACACCATAAGCCTTCACTGACAAAGAAAGTAGACTTAATTCATTAATCAACTAGACAGAGGCACATGAAAGGCAAGCAACTTGTCAGCAGCTAATTGGCAAATAATTATTGTAACTTTCCACATGTACTGTTACAGCTTTTCTCAGGGCCAGAAATCCTTGAAAAGACTGGCAGTTTAGTATGCATTTTTATATTTGCTTAATCATTGTTTGATTCTTTTGTTACACAAGTCACAAACATTAAGTCAGTTCTTGCCAAATGAGAAGGTTCCACTAATAAGCTGTAATATCTTTTATGACAGTGTAGAATTTCACAGTTGAAATGTAGTTTTCACTCTGTTGTGAAATTGAATATTAATTGGTTTGTGTTCATCTAGAGCAATTCTTTTTTCAACTGAACTTAGATAAAGGAGAGACACTGTTTCATGACAGAAATTTATGAGAAGGGGTGATGATAGTCCTCTGATCTTTTTCAGCAGATTCAGGAGCTACTGTAATAACAGCCATCAAGGTTCTTCTTGATCATGGTGTTAAACAGGAAAACATTCTTCTTTTAAATGTATTTGCCACCCCAAATGGTGAGTATGTTTGATGAATGATTGGCTTCAGTGAATTTAGATTCCAATCTAAGGTGCTGCTCTTCTATCAGCCTTAGACATCTTTCACAGTGCTCTGAAAAGAAGCAGATTAGATGGCAGATATTTTAACTCAAAAGAGTACAAGAGTTTTAACTAATATATGAATTAATTAATTTCTGTTTGACCTTTCCTCTACATGAAACCTAGTACCCATAGTTTTTCCTTGGACATGATCTGGACCAACAGACATTAATTAAAATTACCCTTTAAAAGAGTCTTGATATGCCATAGTGTATGATGCAGTTTGATCGACAAAATTCTCTAAATGCATTGAATAATGGGAATTCTCTTATTGTTTTACACCATCCAGATTTTTTACAGGTATGATTTTTTTCTGTAGGTGTGAAGCAGCTACTGAAAAACTTTCCATCTGTTACCATTCTGACGTCAGAGGTGCACTCGGACTGCCCCTCATATTTTGGACAGAGATATTTTGGAACAGATTAATGTTGCAGGACACCTAGAAATGCACTTTCCTTGAAGCTCTAGTCTCCTCTTTGCCATTGATTCCACAACAGTTGTTTGTGAATCATAAATTTTTCTTTTATTTTGGTTTTAAGGGCTCATCCTAAATGTACATGTATGTGTAGTGGATGAAAGCAAAATGAGTACTGCAGAAAGAAGCAAAACCATGTGTCACCAAGGTTTCTAAAAAATTTAGGTTTCTAAATTGGTTTGGATTAATTTGTATTTAAACATGTATTTACAAGTATGGAAACTCTCAACCCAAAGCAACTAAATCTACCTATTGAACTCAAACATTAAAAATTCTATTTTCATATTACATAAACTACATTATACTCCTGCTCTATTCTGCAGGCTCAATGACAGAAAGAATACTAGGCTTGAGAGTGTCAGAAATAGAAATTGACCCTCTGGTATGTACTCTGTGGGCAGTATTTCCCAAACTATAAGGAACAAACTTTAAGTAAAATTAACCCCTTGACCCCAAAGAGCAACTGGCGTCTTATTTTTCCTTACACTGTCACCTTTGAGTCACATGTTAGTGTCACAAAAAAATTTAATAAAGAAAATGATCATCAACTAAAGAACGTCCTGATTAAAGAAATTCTCCATGTCAACACCATAGAAAATATGTGGAGAACAGTAAGCATACTGATGTTAGAGTGAACAGGGTTTATTCTATCTGCTTCACATTCTCACTTCAGGAGTTAGTGATATCAAATCATCTATGAATTACAGTAGGTGATCAGAGGTGGCTAATATTCTTACTAATGAAAACTAGTACCACTTTATTTTCAAACCCTTTCCCCAAGTAATAGCCCTATGGTCTCCTTGTAAATTTTTTTTAAATAATTGTCAGAATACTTCTGCAGTTACATTGCATGTGACTAATTGAGACAATTTTCTCGTGATAGGCTTGTTTACTTTTTGAATGGTCTTTTCTTAGTCTTGTCATTTTTTTCCATTTAGTTGGGATCGAAATATATTTAAGGACCTATTGCACCTGAAATGATTAAAATATATTGCAGTTATGTTGGTGTCTTAACCACACTTATGAACACTAGGGTGAACTGACTGGGCAATTGATTTTTTTCTTATTCCCAAAAATTTTCTTAATTTTTAATGGTAGCCATTTTAAAGTGAGTATAAAAATTTATAGTAATTTTTATTCATTCCACATGAAGACAAATTAGAAATGGTTGCTTTTGATCCATAAAATTTGACAATAAAATACAAATCATTTAGTTGCTTGAGTTGATTCATAAAGTACAATCATTTGATTTCAAGCTAAGAATGAACACTTTTTGCCTGAACGCCAGCCTCATTTGTGTCGATTCAAACACTTCTACATTGTTTGATTCGCAACATTTCATACCAGTTTATTACTTTTGTTTATCACTTTTTTTGTGTTTTTCATTTGCTTGTCTTGATCTCCTTTAACTAGTTTATTGCTTTCATTATCCAGACTAAAAAACATCAACAACACATGCGCACTCAACTAGAGGCACATAAAGTGCCTTTTGATGTAATTGATGTTGCACAAGATTCTGATGCTTTGATTCACACTAGTAACTTTCTCTCCCACATTCGCCTTATTTAAAGGAGATGTGACAGTTAAGTAAAATCTGATGAGGGTCAACATGAAAGTTGAAAGAAAAGTGTAACACTGAACAGGTTAACAAGCTACTAATATTAAACTTTATGTCTTTAATTTATGTTTATGTGGATTTGTGCAATCTTTAATTTATGTTTATGTGGATTTGTGCAATCATCTGTGAATGATTGCTCATGATGACTATTCAAAAAATGAGAATCACAATTTTACATATTGCAAAAGGAAATTTATTTAGCTATAAAATAACAATTATAAAACTATATTATGACAAAGTTGATCAATTCTCTGAGTATCAAAACTGATTCAGTAATGAATTTATTAAACCTTTTTGTAATGAGGACAGAGCCCACTGTGTCCAGCAGATCATAGTTACTTAGAAGACTGCAACCTGGATCAATTAAAATCAAAATTCAAAGGATGACAGACTGCAGTCTAACAAAACAATTATCCCAACTTTAAGTGTACAATGTAAGATGTTGTACTTCTACTAAATTTGCTGACATCATACATGGGTCACTGGCATTTACACCACAATTACATTAAAAGAGTACTGGTGGTGTTACAATTAGAAAAACCCTAAATTTTAAGAATAAATGTTCACCCTTAAACTCCCAAGATCTCATTAATAGTACTCCTCACTGTCTGCCAAATGATTCTCATTATGTTAGTTTGGAGAATTTGGTATTTTTCTTTATTCTCATCACCTGTCTGCATGATATTGTATAGGTATAGTAAGGAGAAATTATGTCTTGGTCACTCATGGGAGTTAAATGGTTAACAGCCCTTGTGCATGTTTGCATCAGAGTGACCAACAACCCCTCTCCAAGCCTTACTTCAAAGTGCAGACTGGGGAAATGTAACATCTGACAGTAAGTTTTCTCAGACCACTGAGACCAAATGAATAATTACATGAAAATGAAATAATGGAGCAAGGCAAAGAAAAAACTCAGTGCCATCAAGACTTCACATGAACTTTCAGCAGAGGGCTTAATCAAATACATGGCCCATAAAAGTATCCACTATACAAACTTGAAGGGACTTCACCACAGAGTCAAATAGTGCAGGCTTTAGAAGTTTCTAAGTCAAACATAAATATCTACAACTGATATGTAAATCTTCAGAGTGTACTCTTCAGTGTATAAAAGAAGTAAAGTTAGACTGTGGGTGGAGCCTTCAATCATAGTGGAAATTATTGACCCCTTCCCAACACTAAACATGAGTTAACAAGCCAAGACCAATAGCAGGAAACAAAATTAGACTTTTGAACTGAACCTAAAATAAAAAAAGTTGAATGCGGTGACTAACGCATTGGTATCAGAGTCGGATAGTATGAACTGAGCTGGCCATTATAACAAAGGTGAATTTTACCAGAATGTTTCCAAATTGGACCATTAAACTTTAAATGCAGAACTTGAACTTAGCAATTCCCTGACAATCAGCCAACCTAGTTTTAGCCAGAAACCCAGTTACATAGATAAGGAGGAATCCTGGATTACTAAGCTCACAAGTTTATCATATAGTAATAATCACTTTTAAACCAACCACAACGAACCCTGTCATGCCAACATCACGGGAATCTTAAACTGTAGCGTTTCCTACATGCAAAGTATGGTACATCTACTCTTTCAGAAAATGAGAGCAATAAAAATGGTAGTTTTCCTTAACAAGGTATTTAAAAGAGATGCAAGTCCTTTGTCACAGTTGTCTGATGAAAAAATATATCTGGACATTAATTATCTGAGCCATGTGAATACTACTTGTCCTCCTTTCCAACATTTTTTCAACCATACTGTAAAATTTTTATTTCAGTTTCAGGAATTCTCCTAGAGTTTCTCCTTCAATGGCAGCTTCAAATTCTTCAAAGCCCTGGATGAAAAAGACAAAGGTTATCATTAGAATTAAGAGGTTGAAGTTACAAATTTAAGGTAAGCTTACTTTAACAAATTGGCTGTTTTCTGGTCTTTTGAGGATTTCGTAAAAAAAGATTTTTGAAATACTACTGAATAATTACCAGATTTTATCCATTCTTAATCAGACTTTTGTTCATTAAGTTTTGCCATTTTATAGAAGACTAGTTTAATGGTAATGTTCCCCATGCTGTTTTAAATTGGTGAAGGGATTTCAAAGTTCCTAGAGCACATACGAATCCTAGCAAATCTCCCCTCCCCTGCCTCCCCCCCTTCTCCCCTTCTTAGTACCATGAAATGGTACTAACCATCTAAATACCAAACATTATATAGATCTCTCTTGATATATAGGGCAACTTTCAATTGAGTGTAAATCAACCCTTTCTCTTCCAAGTTCTCAGTTACTACGTAATTCTCCTTACCACCTGCGATATTTGTAATTATTCTCATCACTTGTCTGTTTGATATGATATTAATATTGTAAGGAGAAATTCTGTCTCGGTCACTTATGGGAGTAATCAAGGGGTTTTATAGTAATCAGGCTGGGGTTGCATTTGTTTTGCTTCACTTTGCTCACTGATTTGTCTTGAAAACTCTCACCCTGCACTTTGGGTTTATCCTGATTTCCCCTGTGATTATTTACTCAGGATTAGTTTTGTTTCTGTAACAATCATTCAACCCTTTGACCCCTAAGAGTAATTAGTGTCCAATTTCTCCTTAAAATATTACCCCCAAATCATACATTAAGGTAATGAGAATAGAGAAAATGGTCACCAACTAAAGAAGCTCTTAATTGTTAAACAAATTCTCTTTGACAGCACCTTAGGAAAGTATAGGGAATTCTATGTAGATAATGTATAATGAAGTGTTAAGGGTTAAAATTCATTCAACTTACCCCACAGTACTCATCACCATTGGCAATCTGAGGAGCTAGAGCTTCTTCATCTCCCACAAGTTCCCTCATTCTATCCAAAGCATCAGAATCTTGTGCAACATCAATTACATCAAAAGGCACTTTATGTGCCTCTAGTTGGGTGCGCATGTGTTGTTGACGTTTTTTAGTCTTTATAACAAAAGCAATAAACTAATCAAAGGAGATCACGACAAGCAAAGAAAAAATACAAAGAAATAAATAAATAAAATTAATTAACTGTTATAAAAAATGTTCTTTTGAAAATCTGTTATATATACAATTTTATAAGTCAACATAAACCTTGATCTAACATTTGAGTTTCAGTTCAGGTATGCTATAATTCTAAACCCTTTAACCCCTAGGAGTGACTCCTACTTTCTCCTTATAATACAACCCCTTAAATCAAAAATATATGTCATGAGAATTAAGGAAATGATCATCAGTTTAAAGTCGGTCCCGACTGTCAAACAAATTCTCCTTGTCAGTACCATAAGAAATGTAAAGAGAACTGTGTGGAGAATATGCATACTGATATTAGGTGTAAAGGGTTAATGGAAAATCCCAAAAGTCAAAGTCACTACTTGAAACTTTCCAAAGGAAAACTAACTTTGTGAAAGATGAGTTTCAATTTTGATGTTGGCAAGACATAAATTCTCCATCATTTATAACTTTGCTGCAACTGTACTTGAAGGCCAAGAGATCCCTCCAGTGTTACCTTATTTAGCAGAATGATCAATATTGTTCTTACATCTTAACAGAAGGTTTACCACCAATCAATTAACACTTTTTAAACAATTTAGGATTTTTAAAACATTATGAAACCAATCATTAATGCTGGAATTAAATAACACTTCATTCATCCACTAATTTTTGAATGTTCCATTTTTAACAAATTTCTTCAAGCTGGTCTTACCGCAAACTTTGCAATAGCATGACAGACCACAACAAAATCCTGACAGTAAGGGTCTTGTGCCCTTGTCTTTATATATAATCTGTGTGGTTTTTGTTTTGTTTTATTTATTTTTTTATTTCCTGCAGACAACATAACATTTAAGATGCCAGAAATTGTACAAACTTTAGTTTGTCCTTCTAATGTGAAAAACATTAAACTTGTTTATGTGGTAGTGTCAAAATTATGTTTTGATCTGAAAATGAAATTCTTTAACTCTTTCTTTAGCAGTATTGGAAAACAATTTCCAATTGTCAAAAGAAATAGGCATTCAATATCACCTTGTCTCAAATTTCAAAACCATTGGAATGCTCAATCCATATTTTACTTATACCTTAATCAATGGTATTGAGCTTACTTCTAAGTACTTAAGTGAATTAATTTAATCGGCACATCTGAAATATGTGCTATATGTAGTCATCAGAAGCTCATTTAAATCACGAAATAGTTGAGTGAAATTTACTCAAATACACACACACGCAAGTTGAGATTAAATGAAATGTTTAAAAGAAAGCTCTGAGTATTTTGACGTTCTGAATGATCCAGCCTGGTTGTATAACTGTACAAACATGCTGTTCAAGTCTTACAACCATACAGGCCGGATGGCTGAGAAAATAAACTATAACAAATTTGTCTAGCTACACATAGGTTTCCGTTTCAAAGAAAAATGAATTAGAAGCTACTAAACCCTTATTTTTCGCGAAAAGAATCAAGTGTAATCCTTATTAGAAATTTTACATCCATGATCGTGTCTCTTTTAATGCAGGATCGTTCCTCGAAGCACAAATGAATTATTCATTTTAAGCACTGTAAATTGATCTTGAAAATTCTTGTCTTAAACTTTGGCTATTGATGACACCTGAAAACTTGCATCGTTTGTTTAAATCGTCTCATACTCACCTCCTTGTTTCCTGAGATATCGGAGACGAATAAGGTAACTTTTCCACTCATAATTCAAGCGAAAGTGCTCTTCAGATTGAGTGAAATGAAAGAGAAGCGTAACCCTAGCCTCAACTAACAGACTACACCCCCTGCAGCTCCTGGCAGGCGTACTGCTTGGACGGGGAAAACTGGTTACAACAGTCACCGTTTCATCACCTCATTGAGCACATCGTGTGTGATGTGATCCTCTCAGAAAGAAGACCATATTACTAGACCATATTAAGATCTGAATTGATAAGTAATAAGCGAATAGCCTTCGCTGGCAAAGGACTTGTGGTTGCAGGTAGATTTGTGACCTGTCAAGGCGGAAACTATTGTGTGACAAAGGGTTGATTTGCATCGAGACAAGACCTTGAATTGCAAAGTGTTTCCTCGAGCCCGAGTGAGCAGTTGAGGTTGTAGCGCCTTATTCGAGGAAGAATTTGACATATTGTACCGACGCTTTTCACCGAAGATGGCAGACAAGATTAAATTTTACTTCTCTTCTGTCTCTAGTAATTTAGAGGTGAGTTTGGCGAGAAATTCTCCTACCTTTTATTCGAAACTTTAGCTTTAACCATGTAGGTGTGGTTTGCCTGTAGAGTGATAAATTGACGACACACTCATCTGCAACGACAGATTCTTTCTTTCGTTCAGGTTACCTGTAGTTAATATTTTATCTCGAAGCAAAAAACTAACCGTAAGCTGTATTTGTATACAACGATTGTATTTCCCGGTGGTTAGAAAGTTATAAGTGATATGGAGGGTGCAAATTCAAATTGTCTCCAACTAGAATCTATGAAAGTGAATTTAAATGTATTTTCTCCTGAGTGCACCTTTATAGATTATAGGTACTCAGTAACGTGTCTCGACGTGACGTTAATTGGTCTGTTTGATAAGAATGGCCTCAGGTGAACGAGAATAACTGGAGCGTTTAATAACTAAGGACGCAAGGCGAGGACCTTCGGTCCGCATAGTCAGTATATTTTATGCATCATACATACGATTAATCAACATCCTCCTTTGTATAATGGACAAATACTTCTTTTTCTTTTTTGCTTCATGATAATCCATTTAAAATGTGTAAGATGCTAGACATGATTTAATAGCTCGTCCATGATTACAATGTTGTATGGGAGATAATTATCTTTTGTGATTAAGATAGTGGTATTAGTTTTCAATTGATGTCTACACTATATAGAAGCATGTTCAGGCACATAAGAATAACAACAACAACAACAACAACAACAACAACAGCATTCATATGAATTATTCACAATTTAATATGTTTTCATTAGAAGTTGATTTTTCTAAGTAAGGTTTCAGGAAGATTATTCATGTAAATATTAGACCTCTGAGGATAACTAAATGTGATCAAGTTGACCATCCGTATTTTTTTCTCTATTTATATGTACTTGCCAAATGAACATTATTTAGAGATTTGATATCTTGTATTCACATACATAAACTTGCAATCTTTCAGACAGGGATGACTGTAGGATCTCATTGTTGGTCCCAAGATAAAAGTAAAAAGTGTTTAGTTGGAGATGAACTTTATTCGCTTGTCTCACAATGGATTCACCTTGGAAGTTGATTGTGACATTTCAACTTGCAATACTGCTAGTCTTCATCAGGCAGTGAAGTCAATTGTTTATGTGTCACCATTTGTAGCACATTGGTTTGCTGCTATTGGTGCATTTCGATCCTCATTATTATTCCGATACAGAATATACAGGCAATTAATGAGGACCTATGAGGGAACCCCATCTAACAACTGGAATAATAATGAGGATTGAAATGCACCAATGGCAGCGAGCCAACGTGCTAAAAATAATGACACATAAACTATCAACCTCATCACCCAATGAAAACTAGCAGTATTGCAGTCGAAACGTCACAATCAACATCCAAAGTGAACCATCATGAGACAAATGAATAAAGTTCATCTCCTATCTTACACCACGATGAACAATTAAAACTTATTTTATTACAGTGTTCATTTGGTTATGAGAAGGGGAGACTGAAATGAGAATCAATTATGACATATTCTAAATAGCATTTATGTCACCTAAGCAACAAAGTTTCATGCAATTGGAAGCAAGTGATGTGAGAGTTATTGTGTGTGAGTCAGTGTGACCTTGAAATCTGGAATTTACAAATTTTGATCAAAGATTTTCTGAATTTTTTTTGCTGAAAATACTTCTTTCCTTGCCATAATCCATTCCATGGATGTAAATAGAGGATTTTTTATCAAAAATGCATTTGTGAATTTTCACTTAGGGGCACCCAGGGATTCTTGCATTTGTTTGGCTGTAACATATTGCATTGTATGGGCATGTATTTAAGGCCTTTTGTTTCCACTACTATTAACTGATGCACATCTGTATGTACTTTTCTTAATGGATTTATTTCTTAGTTATATGGATTCAATATTGCCATGTACACATTAGGTCCATAACTGAGTACAGATGGTATTAAGGTGGGATAAATGTTGCCACTGAATAACACCTTACTAACTTTGAAGTCTGTACAATGTATGTGGCCAAACAGGCGTTTGGTTAAATGTAATTTGTTGATTGCATAGTGTGATCATCCACTGGCAGGTGAAGATATAGGTAAAAGCACCATTGTTGGTGGGGATTGGGATTTTTTAAACAGTCATCCACAGTCACTAACAGTGGTCCTTTTTTTAAGATTTTCCTCATCTAGGTAGCCACACTGCACAATCCACTGCTACTACCCTGGTCCCAGTAGTTCAAAAGATGGTTAGCTATAACCCAGGATTAAAATTTTAAATTTTCCTTGATTTCTCTTGAAATAGAGCATGTAAAGGGGCCTACATTTTGAGGGGGTTTTACCTTGGGGTAAGACCAAACTGCAAAGCTACAAAAATAAATAAGAAATTGTTGGCTAACCTCTGGTTAGCTTAATCTTGCTTTGAACAACTTGGCTCTGGGTCCTAAATCCTCTTACATAATGTGAACTCCTTGTTTTGTAGATAAAAGAGAAGGTAGAAATGATGATGTCATATAAATTTAGTGTTACTAGAATTTAACATACTGTTCTTTTTTTTTTTTCTTTTTTCCAAATATTTTTTCACATGACTTTCAAATAATATGGATTGTGGTTACAAAACTCTCTCTATATTATATGTTGAATTTACTCTAGATGAAGAAACAACAACAAAAGATTGAGATGATCCTGGACAGCAAGAAAATTGATTATGAGAAAATAGATATCAGCAGCTCTGAGAAATTAAAGAATGAAATGAGAGACATCATGGGTGATCCAAAAGGTCTGCCTCCACAATTGGCAAAAGGTCATCAATACCTTGGGGTAAGTAAAAGGATGATGTATTGCTGCTCATTGTTAACCCATCAACTCCCAAGATCTCATTAGTAATTCTCCTTACTGTATGCTTGAAGTTCGTGTGATGTTGGTTTGGAGAATTTGGTATTGGATCAATTTATAATTCCCTAATCGATATTTTTCCTTATTCTCATTGCTTGTCTGTGTGATATTGTATTGATATTGTAAGAATAAATTCTGTCTTGGTCACTTATGGGAGTTAAAGGGTTAAAGATGCATGTACTGATTCTACAAATGCATTCACATGGTCAGTGTGATACTTGTGATCTAATACATATAAGTACACACTTAACATATACAGGAAGTTGGAGCCTGGAAATTACACTGAAATCTTTGCAATTGAAGCTTGTCATCCAGTCACAGTAGTCATTTTCTTATCCACTAGAACCATTTTCTCTGGAATAATTTCAAATGATTGGCAAAATTATCAAACTTGTGCTTTTGAATGCAAGTGCACAATGACATAGAGTGAAGCGAAAAGTGTGATGTAGCTCTGTCAGCAATAAACTAAAACAGACATTAATAAATTACTAGAGGAGAGATTTAAGGCAAGTAATGTCAACAATTTTTATGCCCATCTTTGTAGGGTTTTGGTGAGTTTGATGCTGCAGTGGAAAATGAGCAACTCATGGAATTTTTGAAACTAAAGTAAAGCTTATTGAACAGTCAGTTGTGTAGCTCAATGTCACAGATTAAGTTAATGTGAAATTTCTGGCCAAAGAAAAATTCATCCTTTTAAGTAACAAAAATTGGAATAATAAAACCAATGTTTAAATGTGAGGTGAAGTATGACTCTTTTTTAAGTAGGTACAAGTTTTCCATTGAACTCTTGTTTAGGTACATGGAGTGTTGTTAGCTGGAAGCATACATGATGAAGAGGGTACAAAATTTTATTTGTTCTATCTCTAACAAACTGGGAAGTCCATTCCTACAAAATGGAACCACTGAAACTTGGCAATCAAATTTACTTATAATTGAAGCCTATTGTTCATGCATGAACATCACATCGTCCAACTTCAGAATCAGAAGTGACAATGCAATGATTTTAGTGCAAAAAGGTACTTTTACAAAATAGCATGTTTTTCCAGCTGGCTCTGTTCATTTACTCAGAAATGCTGCTGCTGTTGACATCAATTATAGATCTATTATATATACCCTGAGACAAAAGGTGTCTGGAGCAAAACCAAGCCAAGTTCACCAGCTTGTAGCTTAAAAATTGCTTGTTTATTTGAGTTTTTTTTAATAACGATAAGTGTATAATTAAGTGTTTAAAGAAGACAGTATTATTGTAATGAGTTTATTGATTAAAAATTATTTCCGAAGCAAGCCAATTACTTTTAACACAGTCTTTACCACCATTGTTTCGACATCCGTTTAACCTGTGCACAGTGAGAGAAACCCTCCCCTTTAACAGATCTTTTCGTACAATTTTCATCGATTATAAACGAACACGATCAATCCGGAGTTTTGAAACAAGAATTCGCGCCAGCGCAAGAACAAAATGTAACAACACTACCAAGCGCATTCCCAGAACCAGACTAACCACGCCTTTATGCGGTATTTCAATACATGAAAGACCCTGGAGACGAGTTTGGAATGCATGGTTACTTCGACAGTAGAAAACACGGGCTGCCACAGCCTTGTCGGGGATATAGTCAACTAATAGTTGCTCTTCAAGGTTCAGTGTTTGTGTTTTGGCCTTTGAAGGGTTGATCATATGGTGGATTCAAATTGTGCGTCATCGTTATCGTTGTGATCAAGTTTCTCGCGATCATTCGTGGATATTTCCTGTCTGCTTCTTTGATCTTCTTCTTCTTGAATGGTCGCCTTGCAAAACCAGAACGACAAGAAATAGAAAATAAAGGCGGTTCCTGAAAGACAGAACATGAAGACAAACTATAACATGACAGATAACAACAGCGAGAAACACTTTTTGTGAGAGATGTAAATTAGACTGCAACATCTCAAAAGTATTGCCATTATTAAATGTGCGGAAAAGTTTTGGTCTCTTAGACTACGACACCTAGTCTGCTTCTCTTATATGTCAGGCAGATATAATGGATATAACTTATCTTAAATGTAACTTAAGTGCGGCTTGGTCTGAAGGATCACCGTGAGCGCTCAGAGAGTCTCGCAAATTTAAGCAAATCTAACGTTCTTAAACACGAGAGGTCTATAACTGTCTAGACTTATCCGGTTTGCGTAGCATGAAGCGCTAAGGAGTGCCTTTCCTTAGGGAAGGGATGCTAATCAATCGCAGTTTTCCTCTCAACATTCCTGATGCTTTCCGTCGGTTTTCTCTCACAGTTCCCGTTAACTATTCATACTCCTTTGTGGAGAGGGGTACCAAGAATATAACACAGACCCGGACGGGGTCCTTACACAGAGGCTAGTACGCTAACTGTTAAGATAACGCGTCTTTAGACAGACATACGAAGCTAACCTGTGAAGCTTAAACCCGCGTATCCAAGCCTGTCAGTCAGCTTGTCAATCTCGTAAAATTGACAGTTGCCTCTATTTCCGCAGCTCTCTCCCCATTGGACACACGTTCCATCGAAAATAGCGCCGAAAAGAATCGGTCCCGGTAAGAATCCGAGACAGCGCTGGATTATAAACTGGAAACCGAGTGCGTATGCTCTCTGGTTGTAAGGGACACACCTAGAATGGAATAGTCCCGTATTTAGGTCGAGTTTGCCGTACATGAGTTAAAACTGTCGAAACAACGAGGAGGTATCTTAATTTGTAAAGTTTCTGTAACAACCCTCGTTTTGACAGTCGTGTAAATATTGTCATCCGTATCCGATCAAGGTTTCGTCAGAATTGGTAGAGTACGTGGGAATTAATAATTTTGAATGATTATTTCTGGATAAATAAGTTGAAAGAAGAATTTTATGGTTATTAAGAACTTAAACTTGAAAGTGTGCTTCCATTCCTTAGTTCTCAAGCAGAGGTTCGTTTGTTGTCGACAGTTAATGCTTCTTAATGTCAAATAAATTCCTACTGTTCATTGAAGTTTTTAATACATACCCGACTAACAATTATACACAAAAAGTGTCGAAAGCAGTCTAGGATTGCATTCATGTGGATTTCTTCTAATAAGAACTCAGTTCGAGTTTCATACTTTCATCTGTAAGTTTGATTTGATTGTTTGCTTCTTTTAGTTTATTTTTTTCACGAAAAACGTTTTTGTAGTTTCGTGCTCGTCCCTAAATCTAAGAGTCTTTCATAGAACAGTTTTCAACGGAGTATCGAAAGTAATCCGGGATTCCAGTAGTTCTGCTTCACTTCGCTCTTTAATTGGTCCAGAAAACTCGTCCCATCCTCCCAACCAATCAGATGCAACACTTAAACCAATCACGACTTGGTCGCCCCCTTTTTCCCGCGCTTAAGGCGTTTGGGTTGTTTTTACTTTGAGACCTCAATGGCTCTTAAAGATATTTTCCTTTCTCGTAATTGGTCGTTCTGATTACTTTGGTTTTTGGTTTTACGACAATCAATCGTAAAGTGAATGTTCCATGTGTTCTTGGGTGACTCACCTTAGCACAACTGTCTTGTTCGCTACAGCCGTGATAAATACTGAAAACAACACCACGATAAGGAAGACAACAAATGCAATGTAGGTCATACAGCCGGACGTCTTTCCACAGTAGCCCTTAACAGCTGAACCTAAGCTTGAATTGCTTTGTGGTTGAATACAACTACAGTTTGTAAAAGTCTAAGGAATGAGAAAAGAAAAATTCAGTCATATGCCATGATATTATATTCACACTTAGACTTAAAACTTTGGTTCCGCAACATATAAAACACCTTCACATCCTGGTCAGAATTTCAAAAGGCCCGCATACATCGATTATTTGGTGAAAACACTTTATTAAATCAAGGCTTTGGTTTTGGTTTACCTCGCTCTGTGATTGGTCGAGAGAACTCGCACCGCCATCTCAACGAATCAGATGCAAAAATAACACCAATCTACTCTTGGCTCTTGGTCACTCGCGTTTTCCTGTGTTTCCGGTAGATTGCTTAAATTTACTTCGGGTTCTTATTGGCTGATGATGTCAACTTGAGCTTGGCATTTGCGAAAACTTTCCTGATGATTTAATACCTCCTCTCGCGGTAAAATTAATCGTCTCGCAAGAGTGTTGATAAGAAAAAAACCTGAATCCTGGCTTCAGACTTTTTGGATTTTTGATCCCGTGGTCGTGGGAACTTCAGATTTTCTCTTTGTCCCTCGCTCGTGACAACTGAAAAACATATCTTTATTATCCGAAAGAAGAGTGAAAAATTCATCATCTTTCTTGATTCATGTACCTCATTCTTCATATTTTTACATCCAGCAAGACAGGGTGAGAAATACGCAAGGTTGTCTTCTCCACAAACAGGATTGATGGTAGCTAGTGAGCAGCTACAGTTCAGATTGCATGCCACCTGCACTCCATTCAATCCAGTAGCACTAAAATAAGATTCAGAAAATAGGAAAATATACAGACAAAATTTTAAATTTTTTCTGACCATTATCGCCTAAAAACTTAACTTCTATCCTCCAGTATTGCTCAAGCTGTGAGCTACAGACTGCAGCGTGGAAGGTCGTGGGTTCGAGCCCCAGACCTGACCAACAATTACATCTTAAAATAACTAGGGAGAGTGTTCTGCCTTTGCTATGACATCTGCAAATGGTTAAACGTTCTAGTCTTCTTGGATAAGGACGATATACTTTTGGCCTCGTCTCCTGCATCTTCTCAACCTCTGCATTGGTTAGCAGGGGAAGATTTAAGAACCCATTCAATTCTCGCGAAAAAGTAGGGTCGTAACTCCTGGGGTTGTAGTCTGGGATTGGTTTAAAAAATTCCAAAATTGGGGAGACCTGAAAAATTTCCTTTCCAAAAAGTTATGATTAACCCTTTCAATGCAGTCTGGCTGAAGTCCCCCGCAAAGTATTGAAAAGCGCATTAAAGCATACTCAAATGGGAAATGCGGTATTTAATTGCATCATTATCATTACCATCGTTATCTACCTGACTTGTTCCTAAAGTAAATTTACCCATGATAAACGGTTATCTAACATCCCCTCCTAGAGGAATAGTGATAGTTGTTTCTTCGTTCCGTAGGAACCGGAATAAACTGTGGCGCAAAAGGGTCATTTGGTTGGTAAGACTCGAACCTTCTTTTTGATATTATCTAACCTGTTTTTATAAGGAGTTGTTATTCCTGCTACATCCGGTACACCACATCCAGGAATGAACCACGCAGAGCTTCCTATGACAGTAAACATTGAGGCGATAACTAAGAATCTTGCAGCCATTTTTAACGACGTCTTCAGGTCAAATCGTCTGACGAGTACTCCACCCAAAAGCACACCACCTAAAAAGTAATAATAATAAACATAATAATTGTGTCATGTACGTCTGCGTATGCACGTATGCGTGGTCTAGGAGAAATTGGGACCTCGATTGGTTTTAATCTTGGACTAATTAATTGCGAGGATGGTGGGTGTTTTCCGAGAAGCTAATGAAAACCGACACAAACTCGGATCGGATAATTTTTCGACGCTTAATCAGCTATTTACCGAATAGTCTATGAAAAATTTGACGTTATAGAGGATATTACATGGCCGCGCGGGGATATGAATTTTATCTTCGAGTGCTGAAAGTATCGCATTTTCGAGACAGCAAAATAATGCGATTAAAGTGGTAACCTATCGCAAAATACCTGTCACAAAAATGTTATGAAACTCGGATATAATTTGGCAGCTCATCGAGAAAGTCACCGGTAACTGTACCGTC